CGACGACGCCTTCGTATTCTGATGTCGTTCTTGGCCGTTCCGCTGGCTCGACAGATGGCGAAGCTTCTCTGTTAAACGGTAGGGAGGTCGGGTCAACCCCTGTTGAGGGACCGGCATGCGTGCTGGGGCCTGCAACATTATTGTCGGCAGCACCGCTTGCCTCTGTGGTCTTTTTGATGCGTTCAGCAACCTCCCATCCCTCATCAGTAAGAGAGTACCGCCTCTGTGGACGGCCTTTCTCGCACACGAGATCTTTCTCGATGAGCGTCTTCATCGAGTTCCACGCCGTGTAGTACTTGCCAGGGTCACTGGGCGCCGAGAAGGATGCGTCGCAGTGTTCCTGAGCCACCTCTATGAGATTGGCTTTTGTTATTCCAAATTGTACACCCTTATCCAACGTGGAGAGTGATAGTAAGAGAGCGTAGGCTCCGGAGCGATATGTTGGAACGTAAGGCTTTGCCTTGCGTGCTTTCTTGGGTGGAGGGGGCTCGTCATCTTCAGCAGCGCCGCCGAGGGATGTGCGGTCTTCCTTGGACAGCCGTGGATTCTTAGGCATGGGCAGTCCATTTGACTCGCAGTGCTCCTTTAGCTTATCGGTCAGGCGTGAAGAGAGCTTGTCTCCGAAGCCCTTGAGCTGGGTGAGCTGGCGTGGATGGTTGAAGGTGATAGGGCATGCCTTGAGAGATTCGTAGGCATTTCGATAGGTGGAGGTGCTCTTCACGTTTCGTTCTCTCGCAGTATCCAGCCACTCCTTGACCCAGTCAAGGAGCAGGGGATTAGCGTATTGCTCGTGTTCGCCAGCCATGGTGCTGCCGTGATGTTGGAGGATCCTCGGCGTACTTCGAAGGTCATTGCCAAGAGCTCAGCGTAGAAGAGAGCATCTCTGCCGGCAAGTATGCAGCCAGGCTGGGCAATGCGATTTCCAAAAGTGCACCGAAAATGCCCTAAAAAATGTAGTTGTCAACTTGGATGCCGAACGTGCCTCGCCAGCTAGAAAGAGGCGAAGGACGGAGGGTGGGGGAGGAAGGAAACTTGGAGTCGCGACGCGTAGACACGCCAAGTACTGGCACTTGGCTTAGAGTGGTTATCACGAATCCACGTGACACGAGGCACAATGAATTCGACCTTTGTGCCAGGACCATCCTGTGTTCTGAGCGCTGAATGCGCCGATCACCTCCTGAGTGCCCAAGGGAGTGACAAAATAATCCGCCGCTGATTTATCCTAGTCACTCTTCTTGATCACTACTATACCACTACTGTTGTTCTGATCAATACTTGGAAAATACAAGACTGATGTGCATTTCATCGGGGATCTTCTGAGATAATACAGATACGAAAAAAGAACAATCCCATCAGTATCCAAGGTGATGGAAAGCAGTTGTCGGGATGTGTTGAGCGGCAGTTTAGGTACTGTGTCACCCACTTGTGCCCCTCATGGACGCTGAGGAGGGGCAATCCGGGCTGCAACCCCACTCCTTCCTGTTGCGGTGTACTGCATCCATCCAGCGCCCAGTCTGACTTGCATGATTGCATCACGGGCAATGGCTACGGCGGGGACTGCCTGTTGAGGTCGCTGCTGTCCTCGCATGAGGTAAATGGCGGGGAGCTGAGGTGAGCCTGGCAGTACCCAGGTACAGTAAGTAGTTGAGAGTTGAGGGGAGGAAACAGCACACTGGAATGGCGGCCTCTGCATCCAGTTTCCAGGTCAGCAAGTAAGGTACGGTAAGGTAGGCAAACTGCCACCCTCCATTTCTCTCCACTGTTTCCTCGTAAACATCCCCAGCTCTAATTACCTACTACGTTGCCTCTTTCTTTCCCTCCTTCTTCACCCCCGGCCATCGTTCTTCCAACACGTCAAACTCCCTTTTGAAATTGCCTCGTTCCGTTGTTCACCATAGCCACTCGCTTGAGCCCACCGCCCGCCATGTCGGACGAGAAGATCATCGCCGCTTCGCAGAAGCACCCCATCGTGCCGAACCACACCTTCAAGTATGGCACTGCGGGGTTCCGGATGAAGGCTGATCTCCTTGACGGTGTCACTTTCCGTGTCGGTCTGCTCGCCGGCCTGCGCAGTCGCAAGCTCAATGGCCAGGCCATTGGCGTCATGATCACGGCTAGCCACAATCCCGCTGCCGATAATGGCGTCAAGGTTGTTGACCCCATGGGCGACATGCTCGAGCAGGAGTGGGAGTCGTATGCTACTAAGCTCGTCAACAGCTCCACGGACCAAGAGCTTGTCGACAACTACAAGGCCTTGGCCTCCCAGCTCCGCATCAACCTGTCCGACCCTGCTCGCGTCGTTTACGGTCGAGACACCCGTCCTTCGGGTCACAAGCTTGTCGCTGCCCTGGCCGATTCCTTCGAGGCCACCGGCGTCGAGTACACCGACTACAAGATCCTCACCACTCCCCAGCTCCACTACCTCACCCGATGCGTCAACACCGAGGGCACACCGCAGTCGTATGGTAAGGTCAGCGAGACTGGCTACTACGAGAAGTTTGCCGACGCTTTCGTCAAGGCACTCAAGGGCCGCAAGGTCGACGGGCAATTGACCATCGACTGCTCCAACGGCGTTGGTGGCCCCAAGTTGACCGAGTTCCTGAAGCACGTCCCCAAGGATCTCACTGGCTTCGGCGTCAAGGTCGTCAACGACGATGTTCTCCGCCCTGAGGTCCTCAACCTCGACGTATGCCGCATCGCACCCATACCACTCTGCGCCTTAACTAACTTGTGCAGTGTGGTGCAGACTTCGTCAAGACCAAGCAGCGTGCCCCTGCTTCCCCTAAGCCCGTTCCCGGCGCTCGCTACTGCTCCTTTGACGGTGACGCCGATCGCCTGATCTACTACTACACCGATCCGGACACCGGCTTCTTCATGCTCGACGGCGACCGGATATCCACCTTGGCTGCCTCCTTCATTGGCGATTTGGTCCGATCTGCCGGCCTAGAGAAGGACTTGCGCACTGGTGTCGTCCAGACCGCTTATGCCAACGGTGCTAGCACCAACTACATTGAGAAGCATCTCGGATTACCCGTCGTTTGCACGCCCACCGGCGTCAAGCACTTGCACCATGCTGCTCTCAAATTCGACATCGGACCCTACTTCGAGGCCAACGGCCACGGCACTGTCATCTTCAGCCAAGACGCCATGCGTGCTTTCAGCGATACAAAGCCCCAGTCCCCCGCACAGAAGGATGCCCTCGAGACCCTCGCCGCCGTTGGCAACCTTATCAACCAGACAGTTGGCGATGCGCTCTCGGATATGCTGATGGTGGAGGTGATTCTCGCTCACAAGGGCTGGACTCTTAAGGACTGGGCTTCAACCTACTCGGACCTTCCCAACCGCCTGGTCCGTGTCGAGGTTGGCAACAAAGATGCATTCCAGACCACGGATGCCGAGCGTCGCCTCAGCCATCCTGCGGGAGCTCAGGACGAGATTGATCAGTGTGTTAGAAAGTACACCAGCGCTCGTTCCTTCGCTCGCGCCAGCGGCACCGAAAACGCCTGCCGTGTGTATGCCGAGGCGGCCACTCGGTCCGAGGCTGATGAGCTCGCCAACAAGGTTGCAGGCATCGTGAAGCAGTACGGTGGACTGTAGGCAAGGCCGCCTAACTGTCAAAGGAGCTACGATGCACTGTTCATGTAGAGGACAGTTGATGATTGGATTACCTTTCCCCCATTACTTGGACCAAAATTACGGCGGATATGTAAAAGCTAGAGCGGACTGGTTACGAGGTGGAAGCTGCCCAAAAAGATGAAACGAACAGAAAACGAGACATTTGATATCCCTAGTCCTTCCCTACTCAAAAAGAAGCGCAGCACATCCCCTTTAGAACTGAGAAATGTGACTGAAAGTGAGCTAAGTCACTCCCTAGCTGTCAATTACCTGCAAGAAGAAGTAAACGAGAACAACGAGAAAAAGCATAGTAAATACAATTTGGATGGCTGGCTGGCCTCATGCAACTCTCCGGGGTCTCCCTGTCCCGGAATGCCCGATTCGACGATCTGACGTTGATTCTCGCGGCCCGCCTGTTTGGTGTGGCAATCCTCTCCAGCGCGTCGGGATTATCTCAATGCACTACCAATCGAACCGGCTTCGCTCTCGCCAACTACCTTACCTTACAAGGCTAGCCATGAAAAGATCATGTCATGTTACTCACGATAGAATCTAAAGAATGCGTTCTATACAAGTCACGTAGAAGCGGATCAGGTTTGTACGATTCAAGTCGTCAATTCTTCTCTATCATACACCAGGCATCCTCGCAACCCTTGACGCTTGCCGGCATCGAACCTTTTCCCATTCTCTCATGGCAAGGCCGCCTCTGTTTTCTTCTGCCACTGATATTCCTCCTCTTCAATTATTCCGTTTCTTGTTTGTACAATTCTAGCCTCATACCAAGTCAACCCCAGAGGAACCCTTGCAAAAGGACATCCAAGAGCAAACAGGGGGAAAGGAGAAAACATAAACTAGATAAACACATTACACAAACACTTCCGTGCTTGACCGCCCACTAAGTATATATAATAGAGGTATAGAGAGATGTCTGCAGACTGGCGAGACATATATCATGTGCTGTAGCTTTCGGCCGTCAACGGTGCTTTGGTGTAGCACCAAAAAACAAAAACCAAAAAAAAAAAACCAAAAGGGAAGCCCATTCTGTGGAGAATTGTGGCACACTGCCTCATCCCAGAGATGGTTGTGCTCCGATACCCGCCCAAAACAAAAAATTCAAAAAAACGTCGATGCAAGTGATCGATGCGCACTTCGCTTTCCCAATGCATTGTTTGCTCCTTTTCGCAAGAGCCATTGCGGCTACCGTGTTGGTGGCCTGAATATCAAATTTCGAGCGCGTGCGGTGCGACGACTGGAGAATTGTCGAGGGAATGTCCTGGCCCAGGTGCTCATCCTGAAACAAGGCGCGCCGCATACTGATGACGGGTATAGGAGGCCATGTTATGCCGTGGCACCAACCCCTATCCGAGCCGAGTCGCCCGATTATATCATTGAACTGAGCTGCCGAGCGTCTTGAATCGGTCTTCGAACGCCTTCATTCTCTCCTTTTCCAATTCTTGCTGGATACGTCTGGTCTCACGTCTCGCGGCTTCGCGCTCCTCCTGCAGCGTCAAAACCTCGATTTGAGCAGTACTCATGCGGGCAATGACATCTTGCATCTCAGAGTCGGCAACAGTAAGCGCTGTCTCCAGCTCAACGACCTTGACCCGTAGCCTCTCGATCTGCGTCTCATCTTCGACGGACTGCTTCGGCATGAGACGGGCCGACCGAGGGAACATTGGCGACGGCATCGGGCTGAGACTGGACTTGCGGGGAGAACGAATGCCGCCAGCCCCCGGGGAAGGGCTCATACGGCGCAGCTGAACGCTTTGTGCGTCCTTAAGCTCCTTCAGCTGCTCCTCGTGACGAGCCACACGCTCCTCGGATGAGATCTGAGCAGCTTGCAGTTGCTCCTCCAGGTTCTTGAGGCGACTCTGCAGACGTGTGATGCGGTCGGCGTTGGCTTTGCGGTCGGCATCGCCACGAGCAACGGCTTCCGCGAGGCGTTGGCGGAGCTCAGAGTTCACGAACAGCTGGTTCTGAACTTGGGAGGCGAGTTCCTCAACGCGCTGGGCAGACGTGCGGAGCTCATCAGCAAGAGCGCGCTCGCTCTCGAGATGTGCTACCTCACTGCCGGCCAAGCTTTCCAGTTGGTCCTTGTAAGCCGAAGCCTCTTCCTTAGCTGCATCGCGCTCGAAGACGGCAGACGTCAGGGACTGCTCCAGTCTCTCGAGAGCCAGTCTCGTAGCCTCGTCTCCGACGACCATAGAACCGCTGCTCTCAAGGTCCTTGATCTTGAGAAGGGAGTCTTTGTAGGCAAGTTGGAGGTCTTGGAAGGCAGCCTCCAAGGATTCCGAAGTTACGGGAACGGACGCAGACTCATAGGTGCTGCCACGAGCCATTGACGGGGGAATGAGAATATCCTTCTCCTTCAACAGTTCACGGAGTGCAGCGACTTCACCCTCAGCACGATCGAGGTCCATCTTAAGGCCGGCGAGGCCCTTCTCCACCTGCCACTTCTGTTCGGCCGCTTCGTCAGCACGGCGACGCAGTACATTGACCTCAACTCTCAGGTTGGAAATGTCCTTGGCGAAGCCAGCTTGTCGTGGAGACGTCACCATCAATCGCTCGCGCTCTACCTCCAAGGTCTGGATCTTCTTTTCATTCTCGCGGTTTTGGAATTCTTGGCGCTCGAGGAGGCTCTTCAAGGCGTTGTGGAGAGCGTCTCTCTGGGCCTCGACGTCTTTCAAGCGCTCTGACAGCTGCTCTCGAGATTCGGTCACGCCAGACTTAACGGTGTTGGACCTGGTCAATCCCAGGCCTGACGGTGCCTTTTGAAGGATGAATGGCATAGCCGTCACCGAGCTAGAACGGGCAAGGCGAGTCGAGCTGCTGGTCGCACTGCGGGCGCGAGTCTCCGGCTGTGGCGGTGGTCCAGAAGACTTGAGTGCTTTGTTCTCCTGTCTCAGGACTTCCAACTCCTGCTGCATCTTGGATGATTCATAGGTGAGGTTGGCATACTCGGACGCCTCAGCTTCAAGGCCATCAAGCTTTGACTTTAATTGGGGGACGATCTCGTCGCGGAGGTTGTCTCGTTCATTCGTAGTGCTCTGGAGCTCAACCTTGAGAACGGAGAGAAGGTCTTCAAAGTTGGACTTGACCTGCACTTCCTCTCCAAGTCTGCGGCGCAGATCCTCACATGTGTGCTCCAAGTCTCGAAGGCGGTTGTTGGTGTCCACATTGTTGATCTGGGCAACATCCACCTGCGAGGCTTTCTCTGCCAGCTCTTTAATTTGCTGGTCCAGCTCGTTTCTTCGTGACCGTTCATCTTGCAGCTTATTGGTCAGTTCCAGTCGCATTGAAGCCTTTTCTTGTTCTGCACGACGTTGAATCTTCTCAACCTCTTCCTTGCTCTGATCGTATTCGCTAAACTTGGCAGAGCTATACCCAGAGTCGGAAAAGTAATCGCTGGTCCTCCTGCCGGGGGCCTGTGGGTTGTTGATCTCGGACTGGAGTCTATCGACGAGGTCTTCGAGATCCATTTCGCGCCGAATGGACGATGCCAATTCGGCGCTGATGGCCTTCAGTTCGTCCTCCATCTCTTCGATTTGTAGTGATGGGGCTAAGGAGGAAGGTGGTGGTGTGTATAGGTTTGATTCGCAATATCCAAGCGCGTTTGTCGGTGTCGCATTCCCTTTTCGAGGTTCTGGCAGTAGTGACGGAACTCCGGTTGTGAGAGGGGTGTCATCTGTCAGGGTAGCTCGTCGAGGCGAATTAAGAGGCGATGAGAGAGAGGAGAACTCTGTCGTCGAAGGTGACGGCGAAGAACCCCAGCCGAAGAAGTTGGCTAGCTTGGAAGAGCCTGGTGATTTTGGAAGAGGCTTGTTGATCGAGGGAGTCGGAGTTGATGTAGTAGGCGTGAGTGACTGTCTGAGTTCTAGAACTGTGGTGACTGTTTGCGAAGGAATGTCTCGATCCGTGGATAGATTCAGATGGGGAGTAGGTTTGGTAGCGGGCATGGACATGTTAGAGTTATCATGAGTGTTGTGACTGTAAATTGACTCGGAATCTTCGTCCGTGTCCTCCTCCTCCTCCTCTTCCTCGATGATCGGCTGAGGTGTCGCTTTCGGTAGCCTCAGAGAAAAGGTTGGGGTGACGTCGGAGGTCAAAAAGGCAGGTTCTGACAGGCCGTCTGAAGGTTTTGTTTGAGGGGATGCAAGGTTGGTGCTTGGGTTGTTTCGTGAAGCAAAGTAAGCCGCGTCGTCTGCCGCGTTGGTAGGTGGGGGTCTGCTTGCAAGAGGTCAAAGTCTGGTTAGCTACTGCAGGTGCTGACAGAGTTGTTTCTTGCCAGGCGAGGGACGACCTGGCAGAGGACCCGGCAAAAGTTGGACGAAGAGCAAAGGCGTTCGGACTCACTGTATGTCAAGCTTCTGGTGAGCGGCTGGTGGCGCGAAGAGAGGGCGAACGTTGTTGTCGGAAAAGTCATAGAGGGTAGGGCTGTCGACAGAGTAGGATCTCGAGAAACGTGTTTCGGGGGCGGCAAAGGCCGAAGGTGACAGTATAGACGGGGTACTGGAACCAGAGCCGGTGCCGTAGCTGGCGGCCAGTTGAGAAGCTGTCGAGGAGAGAGGCTTCCGCTTGATTGCCTTGGCGAAGGTAGGCGTCAGGACTTGGACGGGCAAAGTCTGCGATCTGGTACGTCCAGGCGAGGGCGAAGGGGAGGTTGCAGGGCGGTTGGGGTCGCGGTAGGGTGGGCGACCACGGAGGTCATCAGATGAAGCGTTGAGAGTCTCAGGTTTTGAAGGGTCTCCCGTGGCTCTCGGAGGGCGTTCGAGGTGAAGGTTGAGATGAGGTGGGCGAGGGTCGCGGGCCGCCATGATTATGATTAGGGTCGAGATCTGAGCGGCGGTGGCTGTCTCTGTTCATAAGTGTCTTACTCTGGCTTATCTCTGGAGCCAAGTTGCGAGCCAGCAAGAGATGTTCGAGGCCAGGCTCGTTGTCCATTGGGAAAAAGGAAGGGCAAAAAGAGGAAATGGAACAGTATTGGGGGATTTTCGGGAGGGCAAATGGTGGAAGAGGCCGCAGGGTGGGATCGCAGATGGCGACTGGCCAAAAAGGGGCCATGCTCGCGCACAGGAACCCTTGGAGATGGTGTGGGGCAGTAGTTGCAGCGTAGCGCTTCTGCTTTGGCGCCATTTCCCGTTTGGGCGCTTGGAGATGGTTCGCCCCAGCAACCCCGGGGCCACTGATATTGGAACCGTACGTGACATCCATGATACGATGGGTGCTGGGGCCGAAACTTGCACATTTTTCTCTTTTTGAAGTTTGCTGGACAGAATGGATCGATCTGGGACTCGGGAGGAGGATCGTGCTGTGATCTTGTGGATAGATGGGTAGGTGGTAGACTGAGGACACGGGGGCCGAGGAAAGGTTGGGACTTTCATGTTCCATTACGGGAGGTGCCGATACGATGTGAGGATCACAAAAAGGTAGGTGGGCGTTGTGCAATGCGACTGGCTATTGCACTCTCGATACGCCTTCATCTTGCTACCTACACTAAGGTAAGGTAGGAAAGGTAGGTAGAGAGAGTGCTCCCGTGTCGTTTCCGAGGGTTCCCCAATGGCGGTCTAGAACAAAGCATCCAAGCAATCAGCAAATGATGAGAAGATCGAACTTGGTCAAGCGCCCATGTGGACTTGTAGAAGAGTATCCATCTGTCCTTCCCCAAGGCAGGTAAGAATAAGATGTATCACTTCGTACTATGGCTCGTGGAAGGTGGATTGACCAATGGTGGAATGGGAGGCCTTGTTCGCAACATTCAGACACACAGAGGAAACATCCTGGGCGGATCCAGGAGCAGCAAGGAGCAGCGCTGGTACCTTGCTCTAGCGCCCCTGGCCGGCGGCAGGGGTGAGACAACCGTTTTTCGACGAATTCGAACAGGAGCAATTTTAGCCTGCTGCGCTAGCCCCGCCCAATCAGGTGAAGCAGTACGTATCTTTTCACTCCTCCATTTCACTCCTCCATTGCACAGAAGGTATTCCACTCTTTTCTCCACTTTCTCTGTCAGCGCCTCGCTCTTGCCTTGCACCCACACGACGCCCACGACACCCACGACACGCACGCGCGCACAGTCACCAGTTCCTTCACTCTGGTCCGGGACCTGAGTCTGAAGCTCTGTCCACCTCATGTCCTTCCCTTGTCCCTTGTCACTTGTCACTTGTCACTCACTGTCATTCAAGGTTCAGCCATGGCACGGCTGCTAATCGCTTCTTTCCCATGATAACCTCCTTCCTTGCTTCCGTCTGCACATCCACGGTTTACCCTACCTGACGGTACCTTGCGGATAGCACCCGGCCTCTCACATCCGCACACCGGACGCACCTGTCCCTGCCTGTAGCATGCGAATACATACGACGATTTTCCACTGTGCATACCCAAAGAGCAGAGCCTCTGCCCTCTGGGAGCCTCCCTTCGTGCCTTTGACACTTCCATATTTCCATGCTGCATGCATTGTGATGATCAATTCTCACAAATATATCTCCAAGCTGACCTCATCTTACCAATATCATGCAAGCTGCGCATATCCGTCCATGCCCCCATTCAAACAATTTTTCGCACTCCCCGATCATCGATCAATTCTCTCCACTTGGCGGCCACCTGAAGTCGACTCGAGTCACTAAACTGCCAAATCACGCTCGACCCGTGTCACTGCCATTGCCATCTTTGACAACAATGCCGACTCGGCTTGTGTTTCGGTCCGCTACCCGACACAACGACAAGAAAGCCAAATAACGACAGCGATGCCGATGAACTCCCACCCAACTGTTAGGGTTCCCGCCTAAAACGCTAGCCAGAGAGACACCAAAGTCAGAACTCAGCCTGCGTGCCGCACACGCGAGGGAATAAACCAAGACGACCTTACTTGGTCTTGGCTCTTTTCCTTCTTTTTTCTGCCAATGTTCCGTGCGTGTCGTCGAAACATTGAAACCGTCAGGCTTGCTCCTGCCCAGGACATTCCCCGTCTTCGTCTTGTCAAACCTCCAGCCTCATTTTCGCCTCGCCGCTCAGACTCGACTGACTCTCTTCGCCATCAGAGAGTTGCAAACGGCCTCGTCCGGTTTTCCGGATCCCACTCAGGGTTACCCTACCTCGAAGGTTCAACCCATTCTACCACCAGCCGGGGGCAAACACACAGACAAGATCATGCCCCCGCCATCCACTTCATGCTCTAATACCACCAGTTTGGACGCCGATTCCAAACTCTGCATACCCGTCAAAAGTCAACGTCGCCAGCTCGGGTCCCTGGCACCTAGCCTAGAATGGCAACTTATGGCTTCTACTGCACAGACATGCCCACTCTATTCGTTCGAACACATGCTACAGTCTGCTTGTGCTATTTTACACGAGAGCGAGACGCCTGCAAACTTGGCTCGTGCGATAGTTGCCCTACCACGGGTGATGGAGCTAGCATCGTCTCGCAGATCGTGCAGCTGAGCGACCACCAGTGCCTCTTCCCCTTCAACATCGATGGCAAATAAGCAATTCCCATCTAACTTTGGCGCCATGCACTCTGGCGATTGGTCACCGGGCCACCACATCGTGCCCCAAGATCTGTACCAGATCACACGATGGGATCCCGTAAGGTTGTGGTCCGTGGAGGCGCTGTAATATGCTTTGGCGCCGACAGAGTAATACTCTGTAATTTTCCCCTGAAGCGATCACAGCTGCAATCTCCCCATTGGCCGCCGTTCCAAAAACGATATTTCTCCAAAATGGACTAGCGCCAGGGACACGCATCTTGATGTGTCGAACCCCGGTTCAAAGCGTGTCGAATGAGAATCAAGCCCTCGAAAAATATCTTGCCTTTGTCCGTTCAACTTCGAGATCAGGGGCGCGATCGCTCTCCCCACAAACTTTCCAGATCTCGGTAGCCGAGATACCATGGCCTCTGAGATCTAGAGGAAGCTCTGCCTTTGGTCTCCAACAGCGAAAGCAACTCGGCTTTCTCAAACTATGCCATGGTCTGCGGGCGGAACACCACGCGACATGAATCGGAGTTGACTACCATCCCCCATATATACGCATTTTCAGGTCGCAGCTATTAGTCTATACGACTGTCTTTGTTTCAAAGCATTGAAAACAAAGTAATCGGAACTACAAGAAATGATACAAGGACGAGCGCATCCTCACAATCGGTCTCTACGGATACCTTCATTGACATGAGAAACACCAATACGGATAAAGAGCAATGGAAACTAGATAGCGCGATCTTTTCCCCCGATGTGTCAAAGGCGTGCTTCAACTTCCAAGTACCCAAGATGACAGCAGGGGTTGTCACGATCTCCAGACTCCAGATGGGTTGCGAAGGATGCGGGCTGCTTAGTTGATGATCGCCAGTTTACTTTCCCGTCCGGACATCAAAGGCAATGATCAGCGCGGCGATGCCAATAACGTCCGCTGCAACCTACCTTTTCGGGTCGACGGGTAGGAAGATTGACCTCGCACTATAAACACTTGGCCTCTATCCGTAAAGGGAGACATGTCACCCGGCCACGCCCATGTTCGCGGCTATTTCGGGAGTGTACTTCGTACACTGAACACATCCCAGAAACCGCTATCCTGGTCAGCAGGCACCACATTTCCTTAATCATCAACCAAAAATTGATGTGGGCAGCACCGCCTCACTGGGCCTCCAAGCGGGAGCCCGGAGTGGGCTCAAATTGCACCTCGGATGTTCCACCAGATATCTGCCAAGACTCCAGGCCAAGTCGTTGAGTCTAAATCAGCGAAGCAATCAACCTATAAGTTGCCATCCGCCGCGTTTGACCGGCAATCGACGACCGAATCCTCGGCCGAGGAGAAGAGTGTTTGAGGCTGAAACTCTTAACCTGCCATGACACCCATTGCTGTCAGCTCCGGTTTGCAGACCACCCTCACAACGGAGAACAGATTTTTAGATTGTGGCATCTTCAACATCTGATCCACACGAGCCAATTTCATGGAAAAGATGGCAATGGAAGCCCGCGCGACTAGGTCCAACAAGACTAGGTGCTCAAAACAACTGTGATTTCTCTCGGCCCGGGACAATAAGTGCAACCCGTTTCGTGAATCCGTGGTCGAAGCACATAAATCTCGAGAAACGACGTTCTCCAGCTCGGCTGGGCATGCAGTCCTGGTCGGTGGTGGCTGCATGATACTGTTGCTCATCTCAGATTTTGCGATTGCCACACTGCAACAACCTTCAGAGCAAGCAGCTCAGAAAAAAGCTTCATGACTTGCACAATAAAGACAAATTGGGAAGCATTCCGGAACCCGGAAACGTTTTGACGATAGCCTCTTGTTTTGACAGCCTCGCCAATCAAAACCAAAGTGCAGACATCATGACCGAATAGGTTTATTAGGCTCCAAAGGGGTACCTTTACGTTGGCAATCTTTTCGATATTCTGCCTAGTAGGAGAACTCGGAATTTCGGCTCCGGAACACTCCTCATCTGATGATTTTAGTGACTTTGAATCGTCACCGAAGCTTGAAGAGAAGTCTACGCTGAGTGACTAGCACATTGCGGGGTTCAGCGCTCCACCGAGAAAGACAAGAGAGTTGAATGCGATGTTGTTTCGCAAAAAAAAGATGTCGCATGGAGAGCAGCCTCGAAACAAAGAGAAACATCAGCCAAGCCTCGGGCGGTGAGATACTCAAGGAGGCGGGCGTCTTATGAGACTAAAGAGAACGACTGAGTCGAGTAGGAACCAGAGAAACCTTGGAGCCACCTCCCATTAGTACCATGACGAGGTCATCGACGTTCGACTTGGGTAGAGCGAGAAAGGCATAGCTTTGCTGCAGAGTTGGGGTTCGAGTCCATCGCCCCACCGGACAA